AACAACACAGGACCAGAATCAGCAGTTTACCTTCATCTAAAGGAAAAAGGACACTCATTTGTTGACAATAATGTTTTTTAGACTGAAGAAGCTGCTTGGACAAGTAGCGAAACGTCTCTAACCAAAAGAAAAGAAGTCCAGTTGCCATGACTCAACTTTCAGACAATTCTACCTGGATGACTGAGAATCTTCATAAACATCCAGATGAGAAGATCTTGACCAAGGCAGTTCATTAAGGATAGGAGTAAACAAATTCCTGAAGATCAAAGCTGCAAGTTGGTCTCCCATCTTGCTAGAATGCCACAGGAGGCCACCTGGTAATGTCACCAGAAGGTACAGGATTGAATTTTTCGCTGTGTGGGGAACCAAAGCTCTTTCCTTTCCACCTAAACACCACCCTGCCAACTCCTAAAATATGAGCTGGAATGATAGTGTAGCAAAATGGCTGAATGTTTGTGTCAATATTACAGTCTATTATTTCAGAGGTTTAAGGGTAGATTGGGAGTAGGAGCAGGTAACTTTCCAGAGACCTCTTGCTCCCTCTCCCCACTCCCCCTGTTATCTGGTAGGGGAGGAGAGCAAATTGCATATCAAAATTCAGCCACTTTGTAACCAAATTTAGTCAATGGGGTGCTAGGAGTTTTACATGTCCTGAGGGGCCACATGCCTACTCCTGACTTACACAGACAGTGTACCTGACTTGTAAGCTCTCATTTTTGCCCCATTTTGCACTCAAGGACTGAAAACATCTGGAGAGCACTAGGTCCCTTATGTGTATATTATCCCATGCCTTAGTCTAGTTTAGAGGGAATTTTGGATGTTTAGAACTGCAGGTTGATGGCAGATTAGAGCATGTTTTCAACTCTACAGTAAGGAAGAAGAAAAATCACAGTCAAAAGAGGATTGGGATGCTGAGTCCACAATTTCCTTGATAAAAGTAAGAGTTGCCTTTCAAAAGTTGATATTATGGAGCACATGGGGAGGCTTTAGCTCCCATCAATCCTGGTCTTTTCATGCTTGCTGTGGGTTAGAGGTTTTGTGTCTAAGGCATCCTAAAAGAATGAGTTTGTCTGCCACTTAACTTCTCAGGAAAGAGTGCTGGGTGGCCCTTCCCCTCCTTTCCTTATCTAACATATTATTGAAGGCTCGTCACCTTCACTGTATGTTTCATTTACCAATGCTTTCAAAAGTAAGTGGTTCTTAGAAAAACATTTCTGCAGTTTCTGTAGGTGAAATGGCAGGTTGGACATAAATTGCCTTGTGCAATAGAGACGAGATGTAACTGATATTAGTAATAATTTTGTGGTTCTATGGCAATAGCAAGAGGTGGACAGCGATGGATTTCTCCTTTTTATATAGAGCAGTGTTTCTCAACCTCATCAACTTAAAGATGTGTGGACTTCAACTCCCAGAATTTCT